GGTGCAGAACATGAAGAAACAAAAGCTCTTCTACTTGAAAAAGAAATTCGTTTGTGTGACGATGAACATACACGTGTTACGATTAAAGGCATATCAAGATCACGGAATTCATTTCATAAATTTATGATAGACCAAATAAAAAATCGTACAAACTCAAAGAACAACTAAATCGGTTCATAAAAATTTACATAAAATATTCAAGTTAACAGACATGAAACGTCACCAAAACTATATTCTATTTCTCTTAATAAATCAATTCTTTCCTAGTTAGTACAACAAGAGTATCTTTGTTCTATATATTACATTGAATCGTTAATTTACCTCATATAATAAATAGACTATAAAAAACATGCGTATTAAGTGTATTACATGAGGACTTTGATAAAATTTAGAGTGTAAGTGTGGAAGCTGGTGTCGATGAAAAGAAAGCACAGAATCAGACGTGCACTTTCGCACTCTTTTGCCATCAGCATGAAATTGTTTGACCCAATCAACGCCTCTGCTATATACAGATACTGCTGAAGAAATAGCACATGGGAAATTGCCGTTCCTAAGAAAAGAACAGCTCTATTCTTACGTGCCGTCAAATGTTCACGGGTTATGATCATTCTTTGGTTATTATGCATGATGTTGGAATAATACAAAGAGTATAAGACAATTACTTCAGACTTATTATATTTGGCTGTCTACCTGCACAGAAAGCGCATGTTTTTTCTTGATTGTGCATATACATAGCATCGTAGCAATACTTATTTACTCAATGATTCATGTGACTCGTGTTGATTTATTGATAAAGGACCTCCAACAACAATATGGACATATAAAGGGACGTACCGAAATTTTCACAATAGGAGAATGTCGTACCTTCAAATTTCAAATGCAGAGTGTATGTAGTGTGTCTGATTATATTCATCGAGTCACTACACTGCTGGAAAACTTACTTTTTTTTGTGTTTCGTTGTGAAATACAAACGAAACTTGTAACAGCACAAAAATTATTCCGTCCTTCATAACATTCGGTCGCTACACCTCTGGACATACATGGTCTGGGAATTGCTTTGTTTTAGCACAATATTCTTCAAGTTTTAGTCAAAGAAGATTGAAATGCCTTCGAGGAATGGGGTCTCAAGCAAGTTCGTGTTCATATTTATTCATGCGGATGTATTCTTTCTTTTTTTCAATATTGACTGTTATGAAGCTTTGCAAAGATGGATACTGAATTGAAGAATGTCATCATGATACGATACGTTTTCGACTTGCTTCTCTGACTTCGAGAATGCATAGTGACAAACATGTCATTCGCATTGCTGCGGAAAATCAATCTTGATCTTTTCATACAACTAAGCTAAAAAGTATACTGAAAACATCAGCAAAAACTCTCCAACACTCGTGTGGATATACAAGAGATGTAAGATAAAAAGCGAAATAAGCTTTATTTTGTTATGGACGATACATGACATCAGTACGGACAGTATATTTACGACCCTTGATTAACTTGGAGCCTTCGTGTAAGATGTGATGTGAAAATACAAGCACCATTCCTGTTCGAGGTACACAGGAGACATTCTTAGTAGAATTAATATCCATTTCAAAATAGAAGAGCAGTGGGTATTTTTCGAATAACTTTTGATAGGTACATGATAGGGAGCTACGGTTTTCACCATTGGAAATGGGGTGTTTAGACGCATCGAGCTGTATATTATGGATATTTTTTGTAACGTTTCTTGACGGTTTTCTCTCTAGATCTCTAAAAACTGTGTCACTGCGATTACTTAAAAGAGTTTTGTCTTCCCTTCAAATAGCGCATTCGAACCGCCAAACGAATCCCTACAAAACTACGCAAACCCCAGTTTTTTAGCTTGAGTCCTTCAAAAGTTACAGGTGCTTTACTAAACACCATTTTCGGCTTTTTTCCGAAAATTTTCAAAAAATGAAGTTTTTTGTTAATCGATTTTCACTACGGATACATAGGTTTTCGACCACGCTGAGTCGAAAGGAAATACTTTTTATCCTTTTTGAACTTGATCCTAATGCAAAATCAGTCATAAAATAGCTTTCGAGCGATGAATTCGTGTTCTGGTTATATATGTAGTCGTTTTCCTATGAGCTTTCGTGTTGTTGATTATCGCATATTGTAGTCCAGCGACACATATAACCCGCCTCTTGTGATTTAGTAACTCTTATCTTCATTTCATCCATCAAGAACGGATGTCTTTATTCATTCTGATTAAAAATATCTCGTTATATATCATATCGATAATCATGCCTACCGGCTATGAGTTTTCACAAGAGCTAAAGCAGTTAATTTTCAATGTAATCAAGTTTGTGGAAGATGAAAAAAACGGTCCTGTAATTCCACTTAACAACGTCAATGACTGACTTGAATCAATGCTTGGTATTTCTGTGGCATCGATCACAAGATTGAAACAAGAAATGAGAGAGGAGCGGGACCGAATAATGGAAGAAAAGCGACCGGTTGATCAAGCAAAGCAGAACAAGGAGCACGAACAAATGGAGGCTACTCGGCGACTTCAGTATCCACGATCATCAACGACCGCATCAACGTGTTCTTCCACTGACGACATTGGGAATGTTGCAATACGTGTTGCTCGTCCACCACGAAAGCTCACTCATTCTGGTCGTCCGCGTATTAGTCTTTCCGAAGAAGAGCAAGAAAATATCCGGTGAGTGAGTTTTGAGTTCAGGAATATCTGTATATGCTTATAACTGTTCAGTTATCATGTCCATCTCACATTAGCGGAAAGAATTTATCCTACAACGGAGAAGGTTCTCAATCGTATTCTGGCTGATGACCCTAGCTTTTTCCATACGCTCAACGACATCATTATGGCGATGGATGAAAAAACTGGGATTTTCATACAAACGAACGTCCAAAGTCGTCGTGCCTCTCGATGCTGTCTCCTTTATGGCTTCTCGCGCACGATATTTTGCTGCTATTGATGAAGCACGCTCTGATGGTAGAAAAATTTTGTGGCACGATGAGACATGGTGCAACCAAAACGAAGAAAAGTCTTTTGTTTGGATAGATGGTATGACAGGTAGTGGTCGTCTGCGACAAAGTAAAGGCAAAGGTAAGGGATTTTTTTGAAAATACATAAGTATATATTCTTATTTAGGCAAAAAGCTTGTCATCTCTGCTCTTTTGTCGAACTCAGGCTTTCATCTACCATCGATCGACGTCTTTGAATCCGATGAGGACCATAGTATGAATTCAAAGCATTTCGTACGATGGATTGATCGAACGTCATCAATTATACGAAAACAACTCGGTAAATTCCCTTTTATCTCGCATTTTCGCTTTTAAATGAAATAAAACTATTGCAGGAAGAGATGCAAAAGTGCTTCTGGTACTCGATAATGCTACTTGGCATAACCGATTAACNACCCGCCTCTTGTGATTCAGTAACTCTTATCTTCATTTCATCCATCAGGAACGGATGTCTTTATTCAGTCTGATTAAAAATATCTCGTTATATATCATATCGATAATCATGCCTACCGGCTATGAGTTTTCACAAGAGCTAAAGCAGTTAATTTTCAATGTAATCAAGTTTGTGGAAAATGAAAAAAACGGTCCTGTAATTCCACTTAATAACGTCAATGACCGACTTGAATCAATGCTTGGTATTTCTTTGGCATCGATCACAAGATTGAAACAAGAAATGAGAGAGGAGCGGGACCGAATAATGGAAGAAAAGCGAGCGGTTGATCAAGCAAAGCAAGACAAGGAGCACGAACAAATGGAGGCCACTCGGCGACTTCGGTATCCACGATCATCAACGACTGCATCAACGTGTTCTTCCACTGACGACATTGGGAATGTTGCAATACCTGTTGCTCGTCCACCACGAAAGCTTGCTCATTCTGGTCGTCCGCGTATTGGTCTTTCCGAAGAAGAGCAAGAAAATATCCGGTGAGTGAGTTTTGAGTTCAGGAATATCTGCACATGCTTATAACTGTCCAGTTATCATGTCCATCTCACATTAGCGGAAAGAATTTATCCTACAACGGAGAAGGTTCTCAATCGTATTCTGGCTGATGACCCTGGCTTTCCCATTCGCTCAACGACATCATTATGGCGATGGATGAAAAAACTGGGATTTTCATATAAACGAACGTCCAAAGTCGTCGTGCCTCTCGATGCTGTCTCCTTTATGGCTTCTCGCGCACGATATTTTGCTGCTATTGATGAAGCACGCTCTGATGGTAGCAAAATTTTTTGGCACGATGAGACATGGTGCAACCAAAACGAAGAAAAGTCTTTTGTTTGGACAGATGGTATGACAGGTAGTGGTCGTCTGCGACAAAGTAAAGGCAAAGGTAAGGGATTTTTTTGAAAATACATAAGTATATATTCTTATTTAGGCAAAAGGCTTGTCATTTCTGCTCTTTTGTTGAACTCAGGCTTTCATCTACCATCGATCGACGTCTTTGAATCCGATGAGGATCATAGTATGGATTCAAAGCATTTCGTACGATGGATTGATCGAACGTCATCAATTATACGAAAACAACTCGGTAAATTCCCTTTTATCTCGCATTTTCGCTTTTAAATGAAATAAAACTATTGCAGGAAGAGATGCAAAAGTGCTTCTGGTACTCGATAATGCTACTTGGCATAACCGATTAACCGAAGATACAATGCCACCAAAAAGATCATGGCGAAAGGAACTGATAAGCGACTGGCTCAGGCGTCACAGAATTTCCATTCCTGAAAAGGCCACCAAAGCAGTACTCCTTGAGCTTGCTTTTGACAATTTACCAGAAAAACGTTACATCGTCGATGAAGCGGCAGCAGCGTATGATATTAACATCTTACGGTTAGTAGTCATTATTGTGAATCCTTTCCTTATATATAAGACTGTTTTATAGCTTGCCTGTAAAACATTATATGTTTAACCCAATCGAGCTCGCGTGGGCTGGTCTCAAAAATTATGTGCGTGAGCACAACACCGATTTTCGCCTGAGTGACGTTCGAAATTTGGCCCAAACATGGATGGATTCGTTGGACGTCGCGACCGCCGCCTCCTATCTTGATCATGCACAGAATATCGAAAACACGTTCAAGAAATCGGACTGTTTTGCCGAACAGGTCGAAGAACAGATAATTGATGACGAGGACAACGAAGAAGATGAGATGAATTCCGAGGAGGGAGAAACCTCCGAATAAGCGCTTGGTTTTTGTCGCGCTCTTCTTGTTTTTCTTTTGGAATATCATTTTCAGATAAGGCGCTCAAAAACGTAATCACTCAAGAATATGAAATCTGAAGATGAAATATACAACCAAATGAATTCATCGCTCGAAAGCTATTTTATGACTGATTTTGCATTAGGATCAAGTTCAAAAAGGATAAAAAGTATTTCCTTTCGACTCAGCGTGGTCGAAAACCTATGTATCCGTAGTGAAAAT